GGCCTCTCTCATCTTTTTAAGTGGGAGAACTTGCACAATTGGTGGCTGACTAAATACTTTTTTGCCCCACTGTATGGCATAGAGGAGGAAACATCATACTACAGTTACCCCATATTTCACCCTAGATCCGATCTCTGGCCCAAGTAAAGGAAGAATAAATCTCTCCAAATGTATAAAAACAACCCCTCATAGTCACTGTGTTATTCTCTTGCCTGGACAGATCTTCCTTTGTCTTCTCTCCAACCACTAACCTTGGTCCAGAACTCTGCATTATGCATTATTCTGGACATTTCTTGTTTTTTCCATGTTTCTTCCCACTGCAGCGCTTTACACCAGCTCCTTATTAGGACCCAAGCCCAATTTAAATGGTTGGTGCTAGTGTTTAAAGCCTTGTAGTTCGTTGTTCCCTCCTGTCTTGGAGTGATGCTGTTTCTTTCCATACCCTTCTTGCATCATGCTCCATCTGATTTATATGCACTTCCGGATTTGAATCCTCAGTTATGGAATTCCCTCCCCCCCCTGCCCCAGTCTTTGGATACATTTAAAAAAGTTTTGAAAACTTGTTTATTCAGTAAAGCAGGTTGATCAGTAAAAATTTTTGTGAGTAGATGCTGAGAATGGCAGTAAGACTGTTTATATACATATTACAAATTATTTTTATGTGATTTTCACTGCTGTTTAGTTCTTATTTAATTTTTATTATGGTTGGGCTGTCTTCCAATTGGGGCAGGTACTATTTTTTTTGTATATTTTGTTTGGCTCAGTTGTAATTCCAGTCTTTCTGGAGGGCAGCAGAATGGTGAAAGTAATCTTTGAGAAACTGTTTAGATAAGATATGTAGCCCAATCAGAGCATTAATCCACAGTTAATGCCAGAAAGTTATATAATGCGGCTTCTGGAGTGCTTTAGAATCCAGATTGCTGGTTCTTGATTAGCCAAGGAAATCTTTGCAAAGTTTGTTTCTGAGTCCCAAATCTGTTTTACTTTGTGAAAATGTCTTTCCAGTATACTGCTTGCAGTCCCTGGCATGCTTCCATGGAATTCCTTTATGGCCACCTCTTTTGTTGTTTTTAGTTAAGCAAGCTATCAAATAATAAACCTTACTATACAGCTATAGCTAGGTTGACTTTTAATGTGGATACTGATTAAGATTTTGCCCTAGGACTAGAGAGACCCAGGTTCAAGTCTACTTTCAGCCATCGAAACTCACTGGATGACTTTGAGCCAATCAATCTTGCTTAGTTCAAATGATACAATAAAATTCAATTTGTGTGAAGTGGGGAAATAATACTTGTCAAAGAATGTATGGCAATCATACACTCACATTTTTCCAAGTGTGCGTAATATGTAACATCAGAAATATCAGAAGTCTCCGAATATTCTAAGGAGGGAAAAAAACAGCCAATTAGCATTCAACCCACTGAGCCACTTAAGATTCAACCATAGATGGAAGAAATTTCTCCCTGCATAGTGATTAGCTTCTATAAATGAATGGTTAGATACAGTAGAAAGGACTATTTAATATACTAGTCCCAAGGGAACTGGAAAATGAATGGATTTTCAAGGAAGATCACAACTGGGGGGAAAGATTAACTCTCTCTGTCCTATATTCAAAAAAAGGTAAAGACTTCCTTGAAACAACTTCAGTTTCATGCGTGGTTTTCTTGACATCAGTATGGAAGTGCTTCACCATTGGCTTCTTTCAAATGTTCCTAGCCTAGCCTACAGCCTGGGTGGTGGCCTGACCCTGTTTCACTTTTTGAGACCAGCCAAGCTCTGCTAGGCTCAACCTCAAAAGGACCCTCTGCAAAAAGCACTTTCTATAGATGAATCTGAAGTGGTGCACTTACGTTAGCCTAGGTGTAACTATTTTTAATGCAATATTAGACAACTACAGTCTGAAATATAAAAACAGACAATACAGCAGTTGGAAGACAACGTAAGAAAAAAGAATCAGCCTGAGAAAAGAACAAGCTATTCGTCAACTTTTTAGATCTGCTCTTTCTTCAGTTTATTTAGATTCCAATTCTATTATGTACCGAATGACCAGCAGGAGCTCTGAAAAAATATGGAAAGGATTAACTCGCGTTATTTTCAACAAGGCTCAGTTTAACAGCACAAAAAGGCGTATCTTGGTCCAGGGACTCCGAGGTAGGGAAGGGACGCCGGGAAGAAAGTGAAATCGCAAGCGATTAGCCACGAAAACGAAAGGTTTTACGCATGCGCACGCGGCTTTGAAACTTGAAAGGCAGCGAAGATCACGTGGCACAAAGGGCAACAGTTTTATGCCCAAAGAAAAAATGGCGCTCGCTGCGGCTAAGCATCGGAAGTGAAAGAAAAGGCGTTGCGTTTTCGTAGAGCGCGTTTCCTCGGCCGGAAGGAACGCCTGGCGCGTTCTTCCCCGAGGACCGGAACTAAGGCAGGTGGGAGGAAAGGAAGCTTCCGATCCCGGTAGGTAACGCTAATCTGAGAGTTCTCAGGGATGTCGCGCTCTTATCGGCTATTAGAAATAAGAAAAGGGAAGGTAGCAATGGAGGCGAATATGTGTAGCTCAGGGTTGAACTGTGGAGTCCTTGGGGTTCTCTGAGCTTGGTTCTTTTCTTGCAAACGTTTCATTACCCGGTGTGGTGGGGGGGGGAGGGCTGCTAATCCGTTGCAAAAGCGAAGGCGTATTACAGCACTTAAGCCAACGAATTCATTTGCGCGTGAGGCAGCTGGTGACGCAAAACACAGTCTTCACGATCTTTATAACTCAGATGTTATTTCGTATTGTTGTTTTCCTTTTGCTCTTAAAAGAGGTGCTTAGAAAACTGTGCTGCAAAGGCCAGCCGAGTGTCCCGCTTTGCAGCGGTGGGTTGTTGGGTTAATATTTGAGGGACTCCTTTTTGCTGCGAGGCTGTGAACCGTATGCCTTTCAGTTGCAGGCCCTGTGAAGCAAGGTGAGCTCTTAACTCCTCAGTCGAGGGCTTTTTCAGTCACGTTGTCTTCTCCTTGGGAAGCACCCCTCCGGTCAATGGCAGCTTTTTCTGTAATTTTGTACTTTAGAAATTTTAAATGTCACCCATTCCCTTAAGAGTTCTGGTGGGCTTACAAGATACTATATAGGAAAAATTTGCATAAATTATTTATTTATACACACACATTTATTCACACACTCCTGTACCTAGAGATCTCTGTAGGACCAATGCTTTCATCAAAACGATGAAAGGAGCATCACACCTTAGGATACAAGCTGCACCCTTTTCATATATGCGCATGAATGACTTCATGACACACGTATAGAAGGGTGGCTTGCAAAGGTGTAGTGTTCATTTCATCATTTGCCCCCTGCCCTATGCGTTTGCATAACACACAAAAATGAACACAGTAATACTGAAAGGTCTGGGAAAACAAATATTTTGAAGTTATTGAACTGTTACAAGGAAATTGCTTCAACTCCAATGGCAGTTTATTCCATAATATGGCTCTTGCCATAAAGAAAGCCAGATTGGGTGCTTATGTCCAACTCATCAATAAAAGGTCTCCATTGATTACCTAAGAGTGCAAGGTAATCTATACATGAATAGTTAGCCTTGCAGGTAGCTTACATCTAATCTATGTAAAACTTTATACACCACTGTGAATACCTTCAGTTGTGCTTGGAAGACTTCTGGCAGCCAATGAAACTGATTTAATATATGGATAATGGGGGGTCCTGAGCAGGCTCTCAGGCTGCCACGTATTGTGCCAGATATAATCTGGGTGTCTTCAAGGCCATGAAGAATGCAGTATAATGCTCCAGCCTCAAGGCTACCACTACTACATGAATCACTGAGAGCATGTTTGTCTCCTCCAGGTAGGGACACATCTGCTTTATCAACTTTATTATGTGGCTATCCAGATCATTGGTGGATTGAGGAGGCCATTTAGATTGTTTGTGTATGTCTGTGTATGTGTGTGTATGTGTGTAGATAGATAGATAGATAGATAGATCTCAAGAACAAACTTATCCCAAATTGTTAAAGGAATCAGTAGCAGGTCTCTCTTGTTTGATCTACCTTTAAGGGATATTTAAACCTCAAAAGGCTCATTTGAGAATGGCCCCAAATTTTAGACCTAGGCATTTGCTGGAGTTTGGTGTTTATTTATTGTTTTTGTTAGTGAAATCATCATTACTGAATGCTCCAGTCATATAATCCAACTGTCGTACTAAGTATTTTTGATTATGGTAGTCTTAGTTAATCGGGTTTCCTGATATTGCTTCATATGAAATATGCTGTATTTTGCTTGATGCTTAAATGCTGGTATGTGTAAATGTATTTCATGAAAAAACGTACTATTTCTGGGAGCCAGTTCAGGGATACAACTAGTGTGGTTAGCTACATTACCAATTAAACAAATACATTTAAAACTATGAAGGTTGCTGATTTTTTCTAAGCTGTAATGTGTGTTTTTCCTCTTTCTGGTTTTCACAGGCTATTAGGTTTTGATTTTTTGTTTGTAAATACTGAACTACAAGTAATGGTTTTTCTTCTACTTTACTTTAAAGCTGGTTATAACAATGTTTTTTTCTCTCTGTTTCTTATTTTTAAAGTATATAGTCAGATCAATGGATAACTTTGTTGAAGAACTGAGACAAGAAAGAAGTTGGCTGTCCACAGAAGAAGAAACAGAGGATGTATCTACAGCCAATGCTCTGCTCTCAGGAATTTATTTGCCTTTGCTGCCGAGATATTTCCACCACCCAAGTAAGTTCTTAATGACATGATGGAATTGGTAGGGATGAAGAAAGGTTCAAAATCTGGGGTCAATCTCTCCCCTTCCCCCACGTAGGCCTTCATCAGCCTACAGTACATGGTAGTGTTACCTTTTATTACAAATCTCCTATAGCTAGTTTTTACGTTCAAGAAAATTGCATAATATATCTTTCGGGTGCCACTTTGGAATGCAGTTGAGGAATGGTATTTTGAACACTAACTTAACATGGAATCCTCCTTGTTTATAGAAAAACTAGCAATTAGAAAGATGGGTTCTAACTTAGCGGTTGCCCTGATACTTTTTTCCTTTTTGCAAAGCAAATTCAATCAGGTGGCCCTTACTGGCATGCTCTGCTATAGTACATATTAAGATGATGGTGAAATAGGGTACTTAACAATATACAGATTGGTAGTTGAAAATCACATGTTAGAAACTTGCAGTATCTTCCTACAGTTATGTAGCCAGAGTTAGGACATAATGTATCTAGTAAAGGTGCAACTGTTACATATTGATCAGGTTCTGCCACTTGTTCTATTCCCCCAAACTCTCTTGCTGCTTTGTGGTAAAATGTGAGTTCTTTTGGCAACAGGGGTCAAGAAAAAGAGGGTAAGCTGGAGAATTAGGGGAAAATGAGAGTAGCATCTGCAGCTTTAGGTTTATTTACTAAAAACGACTGTCTTTTGAAGCCCGTAAAAAAGGAAATTCTAGAAGCAATTAAACTGTAAACAGCTGACCCAAAAGTCAGCTTTGGAGAGAAGAGCATTGAACTTGGAAGGATATGGAATTCGGAATTCTTTAGCTGATTCAAGAACCAATCATGTGATACTTCAGCAAGGAACAATCATGTGATCTGTCTATAGTTAGTTAATTACAGTATTATTTTGTACTCGACAGTGAAAATTGGTTGATTGTCAAAATATTGCTCTTCTGTACTGTACTTGTGTTTACACTAAAAATGGATTTTTATGTGACTGAAAATGGCCAGTGAAATAGATTTTAATATGAACTGTCCTTTCTACCGTATAAACATCATTTAGTTCAAAAAAAATGCAGTAGTATGAACATTCTCTGAGTAAGAATATGCCATCTTAGCTTAGATCAATCCTCTTGAATCTGGTGCCCTTCAGATATGTTGGACTACAGGATTCATCAAGTTGGTTAGAGATGTGGAGAGTTGTACTTTTATCTGGAGTTGCCAGATCAATGAAGCTGAATTTAAGTATTGATTTTACGTAGGATTTTGTAGCGAGACACTTCAAATTATAAGGAAGTGGCATGAGATTTTTCTAAAATGTTTGTTCTGTTGACAAACAAGAGTAACATTGCAGTATTAGGAATTAGTGTAAAGTATGTTTTCATATCTGGCATGCAAACATGCCTTCCTATTGGCAACAATTTACAAACAGCATTATCTTTAATTTTAATAAAGATGTTGGATGGTTAATTAAGTTTTGAATATATTTGGACATGCTATTATCGCAGTATATGTTGGGAAATATCTGCCTTTGGTATTATAATGAATCTCCAGATGCAGAGTGACAACTGATGGCACTAAATAGTTTTTAACTTGTTTTATTTATTTATTTATTTATTTATTCATTCATTCATTCATTCATTCATTCATTCATTCATTCATTCATTCATTCGGCTTGCATGGCCACCTGTCTTATGCATCACAAGTCTGGGTAGCTCATAAAACCCATCAGAACAGTAAAGCCAACATATAAAAAGTATAATCACTTCTGTTTGTTTATCACTTTAGATTTAACACATATTAGCTATCTTGTTTTTAGATGATATATGTTTTACTTCACGGTCTGTAATATTTTAGATTTATACTTGCACAAGTAATTAATGTACCATTATAGGAGTGTATGCCACATTTATATGTGTTATTTTATCTTTTGTTATGCTAGGATTTTATCTCATCTATTTGCTTTTACTTTGGTGTTGTATTTTTTTTAATTTTTGGTGGTCATTCACCAGTTTATTTATCATATGGCACATTCACATCACAGTTCAGTAGAATAAAAGCACAAGAGATAAAACACAAGATATAAAATATAGAATTATAGACATATGTCTAGATTACAAATATAAATTTTTACTTCATTTGTCACACCCAGGAAATCAGCGAAATCTCCATTATAGGCTCTGTTTTGGCACTCTGTTACTATATGTTGGATAGTTTGTTTTTCAGCCCCACAATCACAATTCGGTGATGTTATTTTGCCCCACTTATAAAGGGCATCTGCACATCTACCACGGCCCATGCGAATTCTGTTCAATGTTGACCATATCATACAGGGCTGGTCAAATCCAGGTGGATTCTCTGAGATGCAGAGTAAGGTTTGACATTGTGGGGGGCAATTTTCTAGCCAGTACTGTTTCCACATAATTGTGGATGTTAAAGTTATCTTCTACAAGTGATTTAGCAGTGGAAATGGCTGGATGTCTAGATCTCAGCCTATTTCATTCCAGGCAAGTTATGTCACTCAATATTGGTAGCTGGGGATTATCAATAATCTTCCAGTATTCTTGAAGGAGGGCATTTTTCCATCTTACATCCGGGGGTGGTATGTGACTCAGAACAGGCAGCCAGTATGTGGGAGTAGATCATATCGTCCCACTGACGATGCGCATTGACTCATGCAGTTGTGCATCAATCCTACTTGTGTACGGACTGTTAAGCCACACTGGGACACAATACTCTGCTGCTGAGTACACCAAACAGAGTGCAGACACTCGCAGTGTATATAATAAACTATTATTATTAACATACAAAAAAGAAAAAATGAATCCCGGCACCCCAACCAACACCTCCCAGCAGATCCACAATTGCAATTGCTGGGCTCCGGCCTCATGTTATCCCAACATCTGATGGAAGAGCCAGCTTTTCAAGGCCTTCCAGAAGACTAGAAGAGTGGGGACTTACTGACTCCCGAGAGGAGGGTATTCTACAGAGCATGGGCTGCTACAGAAAAGGCATGCTGCCTATTGGGGGCAATATTTAAGGGAAAAGATCTGGATCATACTCAGCCTATCCAACCTGGTGCAACAGGCAGATACCCTGAGGGAGATGCAGTCCTGCAAATAAAATGGACCAGTGCCACGCAGGGCTTTAAAGGAGATAATCAACACATTGAATTGTGCCCAGAAAGAAACTGGGAGCTACAGCAGTTCACACGTTCTTAACGTTCTTTGAATAAGAAATATTCCTTCTTATTTTAATTCCATTGCATGAAGGATTGTTTATGTTGATAACGTTTGTGCAGTCATCAGAAAGAAATCTAAATTTCATTCATAGTGCTTTTCAGTTGATGTGACACATAGTAACATATACCAGGAAAACCCAGAAATTTGATGCTGCAGGGCACTGATAACATTTGTGAAATCCAGTAATGCAAAGTTGATCACAGTACTGTGTGTTCTTGGAGTTCACATTCCAGACATGAATATAGTTCACATTTTTTCTGTGAACGGCAAACTTAGTTCCATAAATACTTTATATATGCATTATTTGTAAAATAATCAAAATTTCTTATGTTGATTGAAGGAAATAGTGGTGTGAAACCTTCAGAATTTCAAAAGGTGAAAGAAGATTGTTTATGCTGTATCCAAGATGCCCTCTTACAAAGTCAGTGGCAGAGGGCTGCAGAATTAATGATAAGCTATTTAGAGATGCTGGAAAATACAACTGCAGAAAAAAGGGTGGCAGCTCAAGAGGTAAGTAAATTAATCAACACAATATCTTTGAAATCAAAGGGTGGAAAGTTGTTGCTTTATCATTTCTGCAGCATGTGCCTCTAAGTAATATGATTAAGAACAAGGTAGAAAAATGGGTAGAAAGGAACCTTCTGTGTTATCCAGTTAGATGTGCCACGTGTGACTCTTTTTTGTAAATTTGGGGTGCAAACCTTTTTCAGGCAGTGGGAACCTTTGGAAGTTTGAGTGCATGTAGTGGGAGCTCTCACAGAATGTCTGAGTAAGTTGCAGCAGAGTTGTCTGTTCACAAAACAGTTGCCAAACAATGCAGCCAATCACAAAATACCTTTTAGTTGCCATAAGGCAAGATGGTGAGGTTGGCCTTCACCATTTGTTAGCCCTTCATGAGGCTTCCTACCATTTTCTATTTTATCTTTGACATTTTTCCGGGCAGGTAAGCAAATTTCTTAACAAAGCCCTATCTTACATTCACCTACCCTTTTTATTTTTCTGTAATATATGTTGGGTCTATATGAGATCCTGTATTCTATTAAAATAAAGATGATAGAGGCTGGTGTTTTGATTTGTAGAATGCCAGATCTATCTATCTGTCTGAGCGTCTGCCTGATAGGTGCAGCCCGTGGGGATTTGAATATGGGAACTATAGTGTTCATAGACAGGTGTGTTGGAGCATTGGTCAAGAAAATCAAGATGGCAGTCTTGACCATACAATTAAGGCTGCCGTCTTGACTTTCTTGACCCCTCTACTGGAGATACCCTTGCTCATAGACATCATGTTAATGATTTTGTTGTAAATAATAGTATACATTAAAGGTGCATCACTAGTCATAGTACATTTGCTTCCAGTACTATGGCTTTATGATTTGCTTGGAATGTATTTTCTTCCTGATTAGGAGATCTGGAGAATAGGAACTGAAATCTTGCAGCAGCATCCACAGAGTAATATAGAAGAGAGCAACTATTTTGCAGATCGGATGAAAAATTTAGGAGTCAAGAGATATTTAAAGGTAAGAAAAAACTCTTAAGGTGAAAATAATTTTAATTCAACATTTTAATATTGAAAATGTGCTGTTTTATTATGAGCTCTGCTACTGATTCCTTTAAGAATTATGATGTAACCTTAGAGAGAGAGGATAAAATATAAATGCATTTATAACCGCTGTCAAAAAGATCAGAAGCTGCTGCTTTATAATCTTTTTTTCTTTCTTTTGCTTTTCTATTTCTATTTTTTTTCTATTTTCTTTCTTACTTATTCACTCTTCTTTTTTATTTTCTTATTTTATTTTCTAATATTTGTATTGTTTTCATTTTGTAAAAATTTCTTCGATAAAAATTATATTTAAAAGAAAATGTGCTGTCATTATAAAACTCCAGTGTATATCTCTAAATTACACTTCACATTTTTGTTATTTCTGTGATAAAGCATATGGCTTCAGATTTTAATTACACAAAACTGTGTTTTAATTATGGCTGTGGAACTATTTAAAAATGAGTGGTTCCATAATTAGTTGATTCTAACTGAATACCGTAAACATATTTGTTCCACAGCCTGATCTGGAAAAATTCACTCTCATGTATGAGCAAAAAAGTGTGATTATTTCTACGGTAAAAATCTGTGGTTTCTTATACAGGCTGAACATGTAGCCTACCCACACACAACTCCTGCAGTTGAAAGTGTTTCCTTGTTATTAAAACAGAATAGTTCTGAAGACACCATTCTTTTCTGAAGTTATTGGGAAGATTTACTGCTGGAGGATCTCTTTGTTTATGAACATTTGTATCCAAAGTTGCTGCTTCTGTTCAACCTAGTAAACAAAGCTCAAATTACAGATTTCTCTAGAGCATGCCTTCCACCTTTTGTGTAGTGGGTTTCTGGATGAGGCCTATCAGAACTTGATCTTGGCTGAAAGTTGGCGATATGGAGAAGAAACAGTTGCTCAGGAGAAAGAGCTGAAACTCGTTCAAGCTTATAAGGGGCTACTAGACTATTACACATGGTTAAAAAAGAAGACGGATCTGTTGATGCTGGGTGAGTATGTGCCTGTAGATGACACTGTGGCAGCATGCAGCAGTAACTGCTGCAGTCGTCCATGCATTTTTCAATTCCACTCATGAAATATGAGACAGAACTTTGACTGAATTCTCCGGCACACCTACTAAGAAGGAAGTCCCAGAGAATTCCATGAAATGGGTATCTGATGAAGCATGTAGAGGGTTTTGAAATTCATTTGGTATCTTCTTCAGCAATGGGGAAGGCTAAGCATTACTGTATATGTTGTTTCTCCTATCATTTCATCTGTATTGCATGCTTTAAAAGAAACCTGGCCCTGGAGAACACAAACCAAATGGCTTTCTCAACTGGCTACTGTTATTTTAGTCTGTTTGCTGATAAGCTCTATCAGATTCATTGGCCTTGGATAATCATAATATTTAACCATGATTTGGGGCCATAATCAGGACTCTCAAAAATACAGTGACAACATGGTTTAGCTTGCTAAGTTAACATTTTATTCCCCGAAAGAAAATGTAAGGGAAAATCAAAGTAATCTATTAATCATCTTGCAAAGACACAAAATGGAGAGTTAGGGAAACTATGGTTCCTCAATTCAGTTGTAATATTATACCACAGTAAGTATTAAATCAGGGTTTTATGTCCTAATACATCCAATTTTTAGCAGTGGTTTATGAAGGTGGAAAAATGCTTTAACCCATAGTTTGTGCACAGGATCATTAAGTTTGTCACAATGTAATGGCAGTGGGAGAAAGTAAACACATCTGTGTCATTTAACCAGAGTTGTGTATTTCAGAGAAACTTCTCATCCCCAACTGTCTGCAGATATAATTGGCAATATGAACTGATTATCTCAGGATGCTACTTTTGGGTTTCATGAAAGAGATGCTGATCCTAATTTACCAAGTATATTATTGTGGTATTTTTACTCCCAGGGAGAGGCACTGATGGAATATTTTGCCAGTTATGAAATGGAGGACTGATCTTTATCATTCTCCCTCACTATTCATTTTATTGTTTGGCTTCTTTAGTACAAGAAATATTCAGGAGATCTGAAATGGCAATTATTGTAAAAATGGCATTTTCCTTTGTGTGATCCATTTGAATTACCATTTTCTTTGATTATCTCTTTTTTTAAGCTTTTTTTTTCCTGGAGGGTTCCTTAAAGGTTGATTTTAAAACCGAGGGTAGAATTATGATGTCATTTGTTTCAAATTGGAGTTATGAGATGGATGTCTTGTCTTTCACAGATGAAGACAGCTATACACGATCTTCTCTTCAGCAGGAAATGCATGGCTTGTACCAGCAGGCTAAAGGCAGCCTCAAGGAGATAATTAGAATTCCTGGAGTTTGGGATCCTTTTGTGATTTGTTATGTGGATGTAAGAGCACACTTTGTACAACAGGCTTACCTCTTAATTAATACCTGATCTAAATTTCATTGACAGTTCAAAGTCTTATAGCTTGGTGAATATTGTGTTGACATTCCCACAGTAGTGAATAAAAGTGGACTCCGATTAGGTATTTAGTAAATTCCATGCCATGTAATCTGGATGGCTGTCAGATGGCCCAGCTTTAAAGAGGCATTAGGTAACTCAGTGGCAGAGGCTTTTGGGAAAGTGTGTAGGTTTGGAAATTTATGACAGTAGTATAAGCCCTACCACCACGCGGTGACCAGTCAGGTACAGCTAGTCATAAAACCGTTATTGGGTGGACTAGTATTGCCTTATGCTTAGTTTCATGGGCATGAGGTCAAAATGTGAAATCATATATTTAGCCCCACGTTGTAAAAACACACACACAAAACAACCCTCATATGTATGTATGTATATATTTATTTATTTATTTGATTGATATCCCACCTTTTGTTCAGGAGCTCAAGGCAGCATATACAGTGCTCCCTCCTCCCATTTCCCCCCTGTGAGGTACATTGAACTGAAAGAAAGTGACTGGCCCCAAATCACCCAATGAGCTTCTGTGGCTGAGGATGGACTTGAGCCTGGGTCTCCCCAGTGCCAGTCCAACTCTTAACCATTACATCACATTGGCTCGCCATTATCACAGAAGGCATGTTAACACTGGTGCAGCTAAAGACTCCTTAAAGCTGGCTTGCTTGTGGTCTGGGATGCGACAAAAGCAAACTCATTGGATAGTGGCAAAAAAAGAGAGGTTGCCAGGGCATGGTTGTACAAGTGGGGAAATGGTCCTAAGTGTTTCTTTCATTTGGCTCTTGCTGACTTAAACTGCTATTTATGAACTATTGGCTAGGTTTATGTGTTACACTAAGCCATAATGTGATTTGTTCGTTTTTAGCTTAGCAAATTATGGGAACCAACCACTTGATCTGTAAACCAAAGTTTATGATTCTACATGTTTTTGGGGAACCAACCAGTCATGGGCTGAACCAGAACCAGTGGATTTAAATATTAGGAAACTAGATTCAGGTTAGGATATTAGGTATTATTTAGATATTAGGAAACAGTTTCTGATGATATGATGTGTCACTCATTGGAACAGGTTGCCTTATGGAATGATATGTTCCCCTTCATCGAAGGCCTGCAGACAGAGGTTGGAGATCCATCTGTCCAAAATGCTTATTATATAATATATTATGTGCTATGATATTGAGACTTTACTTTTCCCATCACACATACACAGATCCCCTTTCCACATATATCACTGTAGCAAAATCTTCCTAGGTGCTGCAGCTCATTTAGCTGCCAATAGATGGTCCCATGGTGCTGATTTTCAGCGGTGAGACAAAAACTGAAAAAAGAAACAACGAAGAGAGGAAGCACAGAAGAGAAAAGAACAGAAAGGGAGAGAAGAGGGGCAGCCTGTGGGATAATGAAAAGGCAGAAAAGCTAAATGGGAGGAAGGAGAGAAATGTGAGGAGGCATGGTAGGCAAGAAATGTGGAAAAGCATTGGGGAAGCAGCAAGTGGGGAGAGCTGGGAGAGCACTCAGGAGTTGGAAGGGGCCTCAGAGATCATCTTGTCCAACCCTCTGCTTGTGCAAAATTTGCTAAAGCATTTTGGACAGATGGCTATCCAGCCTCTGTCTAAAGACCTTAACTGAAAAGGAACATACAATTTCAGGAGGCAATCAGTTTCATTGGCTGACAGATCTAACTATCAGGAATTTTCTCCCAGTATCTTAACTGAATCTACTTTCCTGTAGTTTTAATCCACTGGACCTGGTCAAGCCCTCCAGAGCAACAAAGAACAAGTTCACTCCCTCCTTTATATGACAGTCCTTTAGTTATCTGAAGACTACTGTAATGATCTCACCTCAGTCTTTTCTTATGCTGCTTCCTTTAACTGTTTTTCCTAGGACTTGGTTTCCAGTCCCTGCACCATTATAGTGGTATTGGCAGGCAAAAGCTTGGATGGGCATATGGGGGGGAGAAAAGCTTGTCAGTCTAGGGCCACATCTGGCCCCCTAGGCTGCACCTGGAGCCATATGTTTTTGCACCTTGCCTTAATGCAGTTTAAAAAAATAATTGAATTGCTAAATTAATAATTTGCAACTAGAGCTTTTAATTTCATTCTGTTGCAGAGCACTTTGGTACTGCTTTGTAACATGACAACAGTTTTAAATGATCAGCTGAGCATTTATGTTCCCTTAGTTGCTGGAACATTACAAGGAGTATGAAGAAGCACGGGAAGTGTTAAGTGACTATGCATATAATTCCAGGTTTCCTTCCAACCCTAATGCTCACGTTTACTACTACCAGTTCCTAAAGAGAAGGGGGGAATCAAGGAAAGCACAGATCTCTGCACTGCAGGCAAGAATTCTAGGACTTTATTATTCTGTTTCTCTTTGATTCTGTTATTATTATTTTCTTTTATCTATGAATAATGAAGCATACAAACCAGCCAATCAAAGCTGAATGCCTTCTTGGAAGTTGAATGTGTTTAATAGCGTACCAAATTGCTCACTGAAATCAGCAGAACTTATAACTATGTTGATCTAAGTTCCTACGTTCTTAAGTTGGAACAAAAGGTTTCAGAGTGGTGCAGTGATGTACACAACAACGGCTATTCTCCAAACCCAGATTGTCCATCCTTAGAATGTTGTCCTGTTTTGTCACAGTGCTGCTATCGCACAATTTGCTTGAGAGAATATAGTGTCTTCTACAGCGAACAGGACCATGCAAAGGTGCAAATGTAGCACCTGTTTGCAACTTCTTAAACCAAATAACTTTTTACCCAGGCTTGTACAGGGGGTGGCTGCCACATGATCCTAGGAGAAGGCAGGGGTGCTTTAAGAAGTTGCAGAGAGGTGCCCCTGTGCTCTCCAAACCACCTTTTGTATTTGTAACTGAAATATTGCACAACCTTTTATATGTATATAATCATGGCCTTCTACACATTTTTTTTTCTTCTGTACTGCATTTTCCAAGTATAAAGTGCTCAAACAAGGATTTTTTAAAAAGACAAATTAAGTGCAATAATTGCGCTACAATCCTAAAATATTTGCCATACAAATCTGACGCTCTTATTACAATAAGCATGTAATGCCAATGATCTCTGCAGTAACTGGAGTATATTAATGGGCTGACTTCAGTTTCTACACACACATACCATACTTGCTATATCTATATCTATATATCTATATCTATAGAGAGAGAGAGAATGAGAGAGAGAATGCCAGCATAACTCAAACTCTTTAGTGTAGTATGTGCTTTACACCTGAATCCTATGTTTGGGCTCTGAGTTGAAACTGGCAGTCCAGTCCTGACCTCTGGCATAAACATCTGCAGGTATCTTCTGTGAAACCATTGGGATGTAAAAGTGCCTGGTTTTGCTTTCAAACATTCATCCATTTGCCTTTTTCTTCCTAGATCCTGCATGAGCTTGTTCCTTCCCATGAACTGATGCTGGAGTTTTACAACTTGCTTAAAAAATCAAGTAAGACCTTTTAAGATATGCCAGCGTTACACTCAGATTAGTTGCTGTGTTCCTCACCTGAGGCATAATGAACAGAAAAAGTTACAAGCAAATCCTAATGTAAATAAAAGTTTATGACCAAGAGTGCCTTTCGCTATCTTGGGGTTACCAGCCTCTTGGAGGAAAGCAGAACAACCTTGTTCTACCTGCACTGGTTACAGCCTGGCTAAACTACTGTAAGGCATTCTGTGCAGAGCTGTCTTTGCTTTGAAATCATTAATTGCTGTGGATGATAGTGCCTGGATGCCCATGAAAGCCAAACATGCTGATTAGATTATGCTGATATTGTGCTAATCACTGTTTCCTTTTTTATTTGTTTGTTTCCTGGCTCAATGTATCTTACTGGTTTTCATATTTAAAGACCTGATGGGTTTTTTAAAAAATCACCTGTTCTCCTATGAACCTGCCCTTATCTTGTGATGGTGCCTCTCTGCTTCTGGCCCACCATTAATGTCCAATAAGGGACAGGAGTTGTTTAGCCATGGCCTCCTATCTTTGGATAATATGTATGGTTGGCTTTTAAGCCAATTTTAAAACTAGTTTTTTATCACTTAATTTTTAATTCATTTTATACTGAGTCCTTCTCAGTCTGCTATCATTACCAACTAGCATGGTTAAAAGCTAGGAATTAATGCCAGTTGGCTTCAGAATGGCATCTGGTTGGGGAAGGTTAATACATAGTATTTTATCATTGCAAATTGAGGGGATTATATCCGACACAATTAGTGGGTACTACAGCTATTATTGGATTTTTGTGCTTAGTTTCAGAAATGAAAAAAAACCACTCACCAGCTGGAAAAGAGAAATAATAGCGTAAAATATTAGAATGCTATAACAATAATGGGATCTATTCTAATTTCAGAAAAAAGAAAAAAACATAAATTACAGCTGAAAGTTATTTTTGCAGCCTTGGATTTTGCTGGATGGAAGGAAAATATAAAAGCCTGGAGTTATTTGGCAAAGCAGACAGTAGAAATTCTGCAAAAGTAGGTCTATCAGTCCTCTGAATGTGATATATATGTTGCTGGACTACATATTTGCTGTTCTGCTTCACATGATACATTTAAATTCTCCTTTATGCAAAATCTCCTAATGAGCTTTAACTAGTATGTCAGGGAAAGGTTCTAGTCCTTTGCATGAAATGGGGGATCATTTCAGATTGAAATAAATCCTTAAAAAATAGAATCTGTAACCCAGAGTTGGAAATATTCAAGAAAACTACTAGTCTACTGAAACTTTAGTAACCTGCTTATTGAGCATTAGTTAAATTTTAATCAGATGCACACTTGGGAATGGTTTTTTTTCACCTTAAATTCTAGACTTTAGATGATCCATCTGTACTGGGTCAAAACATTAAAAATAAAAGCAGAAAGTAACTATATTGAACTCAATGCAATTTCGTAGAAATGTTTAGTTTTTGTTTTTTTTAAAAAAACAGTTGCATAAAGTTTTTATTGCTGGATCCTCTTGAAAGGTTCTAATTGACTAAAGACAGGACAAAACTGTATTTGTCCAAAGTCACATTTAATTAGAACAAAGCTGTGTTTACTTAGATTTGTTGGCTAACAATTATCTTGCTTCACCTGCCCTTTTGAATTTAAGCTAGGATTTACTAAAACTGGAACTAGAATTTGTTTTTAGTATGAGAGTGCAGCTATAATTGTATGAAAACAGAAATGGCCTTAGATTACCCAGAGTGAGCTTTTTGAAGCAATATACGCTTTGTACATGATCTTTGCTATCTTCTAGTAAGGTATGAAATTCCTCTACCAATATTTGAGATATATCTACTCAGGTCTAGACCTAGTTTAGATGTTACTAGGATTTCTTTGAATGTTTTTCAGCTCTGACAAGCAGTTTCACTGGCTCAAAAAGGAGTGGGATACCCGAAAGGACTGGTGGCCAGCTTTTCATTTCAGCCCTTATTTGGCAAAAAATAACTGGCAGGAAAACAAAAAACTTGCTTGTGAAAAAGTTCTGATAGCTGGAATACTGTTGGGAAAAGGTGACTTTTTTCTCCTATAAATATTATTTTCTTACATGTTGATGATTTAAAAGAATATTTAAATAATATTTAAAATACTACTCCCCCGTCCTCCCAAAGTCTGCATAGTCCATGACTGTGCCATGAAGAGTTTTATAGGTCATTACCAGCACCCTGAATTGCACCCAGAAGAGTACTGGAAACTAGTGCAGCTATCAAAGTAGTAGTGTTGCATGGGCATAGTATGGTGCATCATAAGTACCTGTGCCACTGTATTCTGGACCAGTTGTACTTCTGAGTGGTCATCAAGGGCAGCCTCACATAAAACATGTTGCAGTAATCCACCTGGGAGGTGACTAAGGAGTGAGTGACCATGAGCTAGGCTTTCCAATCCAGGAACAAGTGCAGTTGGCACACAAGTTGGAAGTGTGCAAAGGCCCTATGGGCCACAGCTGCCACCTGGTGTTCAAACAGGAGCCACAAGTCCAAAAGGATTCCCAAATTTCATAGTAGTTCTGGTGTCCGATAATTCACATCCTCTAGGGTTCTCTGAAGTTGCAGCCTCACCACCTTCTCAACAGCCTTCCCTAAAAAGGAAAGGTTGGAGGTAGGATGAAAATTGTCCAATACTGTTGGGTCCAGCAATTATTTCTTCAGGAGGGGACAGGCCACTTATTCTTTAAGTGCAAGCAAAACCACCCTCTCACTCAAGAATGAATTGATCACTGCCTAAATTCAACCACATGTTGTCTCCCAGAAGGCCTTCACCAACCTGATTTAATAGGCAGATGGCCATGCTTACAGCCCAAGGACTCTTGTCTACTGCCTCAGGACCAACAGACGCAAATTTTCCCTGGATAACCAAGCCAGACTGTGCTTTGGTCCACTCCAGAGGACCCGCACATCTGGTGACCAACTCAGAGCCGATCCGAGTGACTTCATCTGACAGATGCCTCAAATGGTCCTCACAGTAGCCCTGCAGATATTTCTCTGGCCCTTCCCTCCCCAGGAGGGACCAGGTAACCTTGAACAGGGCTGCAGAGGCACTAAGAACAGAAAAATAGTTATGTTTGGCTGCTCTTCTTGCCACAAGGTAATACCTGGGTTTGGTTGGATTTGCTGTTCATCTCCAAGTGTCTCTTCTGATGTTTCATCTCCTGGAGTTCTGAAAATCAGGGGACTTCCTGGGATCCATGAGCAGGAAGAGGCCACACAGGTACAATCCTTGATAGGAAATAGCTTCCCTGAATCAGGATTACTAATGTGCCCTTGTGCAGCCAGTTGCCTTAAAGAATCAATCAGGTTATATTTCAATTAGTGAAACAAAATCAAAAATATAGTCTGAAACCAGTATATATTCTCTTTGTATAAAACGAAGAAAATGTGTTCAGTTTAATTGGCTGATTGTGTTCGGAAGAGCCCGGCTTGGGTCACAAGTTATTCTAATGCCGTTGTGTCACAATTGTTCTAATGCCATTTCATTTTTGTTTGTATATGTTTAGACTGCAAATACTTCAAGTATGTCACAAAAGAAGGCTGTAAAGTTCAGAAGAAAAAGTTCCGACAGTTGAAGAAATTTGTGAAAGAACACAGCTGGGTCTCCTTAAGATTGGCTGATACCTGACTACTTTAGTGTCAAATCTCTTGATTTTTCAAAAGTGTTAGATGATTTTGATGAATATACAAGTCTTCCTGGCAAATAATTTTTGTAAAAGACGTATATATAAGAATGATATTTTTTTACAGAGTTCTTTCTATAATAAATCCATTTGTACAGATGTACTGCTCTACTTTGAGTTTGTTAAAATAAAAATTGAGACTTCAGACTCTTATAGGAAATAGACATGATTGTTCACATTTCCAAGGTTGCACATACAGTAAAACACATAAAATATTTTATTTTAGCCGCACAAATCTCGGGGGGGGGGGAGGGAGGGGGATGTTCCAGAGGGCAGGAATTGCAATAGACTAGGACACTATCCTGGGTTCCCCAAGATAACATTCTTTAATTGATGAGATCTGGAGCAAACCCACTCTGTTGGACCAAACAAGATGGTCAGAGACAACTAGAAATAAGTAGTCCCTCAGATATGTGAGAAGGACATTAAAGGTGATAACCAGCACATTGAATTGTACCTGGAAGCCAAATGGCAACTAGTGCTGCTGCGAAGCAGTGGGGTGATACACAGAGCCCCCATCATTGTGCTACCATATTCTGGACCAGCTGCAGCTTCCGGATGGTCTTCAAGGGTATCCCCATGTACAGCACATTACAGTAATCCAATTGTGAGGTAACAAGCACGAGTGCCTTCTGGTCCAGGAAAGGGTGCAACCTTTGCCCAAGATGGACCTGTGCAAAGGGCCTCTTGGTCACAGCTTCCACCTACTCTATTGGCAGGAGCTGATAACCTAATATGACCCCCAGACTGTGTACAAGTCTCAAATGGGGAAGTGGAACCCCATTGAGAGTCACTGATGGAATACCTCCAGATCCACAGGAACCAAATAGACCAGTTTAGATCTCAGAGCTCTCCTGTATGCCTTCTAGCCATTGTATTTAGCAATCCACAGTTTCTCAAATTTCAGTAAGCAGTCCCCCCAAGGCTCCAATCAAATATCAATAAGACTAACAGTGTGCTTGATGCTAAATATTGCAGGAAACTGAATTTTGCACCCAGTATCGCTTGGTTTTGTGTCAGTATTACAACACCCAGATATGTGCAATGTTCTTTTTAGCACAGAGCTCATAAATGGAAAGTTAATGAATTTGTCTGATTGTCAATCCATACATTTCTTTATATTTTGGAGAACTGAAACTGAAAGCTGGTTTGAAACACTAAAAAGCAATAGATAATGAATAAAGTAGTATATGGATGAGGTGGAAGCAAATATGATTTTCAAGGAATTTAAGACATGAGGAATTAAGCTAATGTAAACTAATTTTAGCTATTATTTCCTTTCTATTATCTCATGTCTTTAATTTCTTTTGTCTACTCATTTTCTACATTCTGCATAATGTTAACCTGAAAGGGAATAACATCATAGATATGTATCTGTGATATATGTTTTAAAAGATAAACACACTTCTCTCTCTCTCTCTATTTATTTTATATCCCTCTTTTGTATATACAATTAATTTGCCCTGTATGGTGGTTTTGAAGGTTGGGTCTCATCCAAATGTTTTTTTTCATGCTTCCTGAACTACTATTAGGACTTACATAAGTCACCCTAAGTCCTTACGTAAGGACTTACGATTAAATCACCCTAACTTCCCATTCATTGAAAGGCTGGGGGAGGGGAGGGTCCCAACAGGATATTCTTACCTTGGCTGGGCAACATCAGATCCATTCGACCAATATTTCTCAAACTTAGCAACTTTAAGATATGTGGACTTCAACTCTCAGAATACCCCAGCCAGCATTGTCTGATGTGTGACTAGACAAAGCAACTCCCAAAGATATCCAGCAGAGAATGTTTAGACTTGGACAAGGCAGCTTCTCCTGCCCTTCAGTGAATGAAGAAAAACATGAAGATGAGCAAGACAGCTGCTACGAAAGGATGGCATCAGCCTTCGTTGCTACTGGCCAACATATACTTCTTCTAGTACAATCTTGTGAATGAATCCACATCAGATAAATCTCACAACAAGACTGTTTTCTTGTGACCTCAGATGAGGGCATTAATACAACACTGCTATAATGTATTGGAAAAATGTAACAGAGATATATAAATAATAACTTTGGCCATTGATTTTTATGATGGTGGCTTGTAGTGATTAGAGTATCTCCTGTGCAAAGGGTCCAGCTGCATGAGAGTCAGCTGCTCTACTTGGTATATAGTTGGTTTATCAATCCCCTCAACTATCACAAGGAGATCTTGTAAGCACTCCCTGGAAGCATTCACAACAGGTTTAACCTAGAGAACCACTAATCCAATCATTGGCCCTTGCATCTAATCACACTAAGTCCCTGGGCACCATCTGAAGGAATATAGAATCCCTGCCTACTTTCTTTAGTCTTGCCTGGTCTACCAGGACTCCTTGCACCAGCAGTGTATTGTCAAAGCTTTGCTGTGTTAATGCCCCCTTCATCATTAGCTAGGGAGTGAGCAGTGGGTGTGGCTTACGCACTGTAAATAGTGCTTGGCAGGCTGTTTCTGTGGCTTGCAAACCATGGCAGCTAGGTTTGTCAAGGAGCACCTGACATTTTTTGCTGTTCTACACTTCTGTCATGTTCCTTTGAGGGACTGACTTGGTAGAACCTGGATATTGCCACATGATTGAGTGAGGTTTTGGGTTCACAGAAGGCTAATGAATTTGATTCATAACTACCCCAGTACAGTTTTGAGTTACAACTGGCTCTTTCTTGACCTGACTAGTGGATTCCCAAAACAAACTAATTCATTATTGTGCAATTAATAATCTTGTGTGAATCCAGTCAATAAATAACAACAAAAATAATACCCACTATTTAGACCCAAGGGGAAAAAAACAAAACAAAATAGAATATAACAGGTATGTCACAATCCAATAAAGCAGAGTAAAGAGTTGATGTAATAAGGATAGAAGTTTAATAACAGGTGTAAACCTTTTGGGGCAAAAGTAATTAGCTACCAGTTCCAATCTGAGACCAAACTCAGTCTTGCACCTTCACAGTAATCGGAATTAAATCAAATTTCAGTCAGCAGGTACAGAATCCTTGAAGTGCTAATTTAGACAAGGTTCAGAGCTCAGTAGCAGAGCATGCACTTTGTATACAGAAAACTTAGTACAACCAGCATTTCCGGAGTCAACAGTTTTCTAAAATCAGACAAAGTCCAGATACTGCTAGGTCAGTAAGGACAGCGTGACTGTCTGCTCAGGCGATGCTGTAGCACAGCAGAAAAAAAGCTCCCTTGCTTAGTGAACATCTGTCTAGCATACAAAGTGCTTTGTATACCTAAATTTCCAGTGCATGTATGTATATGTGTGTGTCTATGAAGTCTGTTCCTCTCTATCATTTAAAATATATTATTGTGAGGTTGAAATATATTAAAGTACTGTTAATCCAAAATTGTTGCAGTGAGAAGTAATTACTTTAGATGACTGATGATTAAAAAACCTATTTTTGTTTCAACATGCTTAGGATCTGATGTGGAGGGGGAATCGTGTTTCTTTATAATTCAGTCTGGCTAAGCTGAAATAAATTGGAATGGAAACATAATTGATGAACATGATTCATCTTCCATCTCAGCTATTTGGCTGAGCTTTGGGAATAATTTGGAACTGGAAAAAACAGATCCTTTTTTCCCCCTACAGCCATAGACCAGACATTACCGGGTGGCTGCAACAGTTGTCATTCTTGGGTCTGTCTGTATATCTGCCTCTTATCGATCTCTGTCTGGGATGTGCTTTCGGATGGCGTTCAAGGGAGCAGATAACTTCACAGAAAGGAAGGAGGGAGGCGTGGAACTGCAAGGAGGCGGACTGGAGGGTTGCTGCTCAGCTCACCATTAGCAAACTTAATGAGACAGGGAGGGATTGGGGGGGTGTGCGTGCGTGCCTGGAAGCAAACCTGAGCAAACATTGGGCTCTGTGCTGATGTATCACAGCTTAGAAGATGAATAAACCCAATTTTCCAGATGGCCACATCTCAGATTCGCATGACCCCAGGAAACCTCCAGGGGAAAAAACTACTATAAGCCTCCACAGGTCCAGGGCTTCTCTCTGTGCATCTCATTCTCTCATTTGCATCTCCGTACTCCTTTTGCACCATGCTGCAGTTCTCCTGGGACATCCCCAGTGCCTGGATTATGGCCCTCCTTTCCAGCCTCCTTTCCATCTGGAGTTTTGCTCTGCCTATGAGACGTTTGGCTGTTGTGAGCAAGAGAAGGACAACCATATTGCAGCTAAATACTGGGAAATCATGGATTATATTGATCCTCAAGCCCATAAACTGTGTGGAGGATACATCAAAGATATCTTGTGCCAGGTAAGATGGTGGTGAGTAGCCTCATCTTCCTCATGTGCTTTTATGATGGATTTGATTGTCAGCTGTCCCTCTGAGAAGCAGTGGGAATGGTAATTTGAGAAGTTTGCATCTGAGGTTGCCAGGAACATTTTCCTGCTGGCAATTAAGGTGAACCTACTGGATGAGCATAAATTCCACGAATTTGCTTTGCATGCACACATCAAGTTGCAGTGATGGTGTACTAAACCATATAATAATTAAAACAAGGTTCTGCTAAACTAAACCACTATGATTCAAGGGTAGAGGTTTGCCTTCTGCTGAAGCAAGTATAAAGCTATGGCTGGAGACAGAAATGCTGGTTTGCTCTTCCCTGCCCTCCAAAAATGTAAAGGCAGCTTGAAAAGAAAATCACTGCTTGTGATTGAACACTCAGGCCATTTTATTCTCTGGTAAACAGATTTTTCAGATTTTATACTGATTTGGAAAAAGCCTGTTTGAACAGTGACAGCAGTGTGACAAATTATATATCTATATCTATATAAAGCACACCACGAGAAGCAAATGTGTTCTCAAAGCAGTTAAAGGAGGAACGGTAATCATCCTCTGGCATAATTGGCCTCTCTGTCAAGCTAGGCCTCCCCTGCAAGGCAGTTGTGAGCTCAGGAAGAAGAATATGGAATGGCATATCCTGGTGGCACAAAAAACAATTCACAGGGTTCAATTTGATCAAATAAAAGAGACATGTTGCATTCCGGCAAGGGATGTGGCTGATTATTTCGTGTTCAAGGATAAAACCAAAAGTCCAGCACACCGTTTTGCAGCCTTTAAATG